GTTAGTGGTTGCTGATGTGAACATGAACTATTGGACGTACACTACCGTGATGCAACACTTAATGGCAGGTGACACCACAGCAACGTTTGAATAAAAAGATAAACGTCATATTTTTGCTCAAATTTTTCTTATGATTTACACATCGTCCAAAAATCATATTGTCCATCATTATTGTGCTGTAGATCCATACACAGACACTGATTAGAATATTTTTGTTATTAAGTACTTGGCAGAGATACGTATGTGTCCTCTGTGTTTTCTAGTGTGGATATAAAACCAGGAAATAATCTACACAGATTGTAGACGTGTGCCTGAAAAAGTTCTAATCAGATGTGGTGGCGCCTTCATGAAAAGAAAGATTAATCAAAAATAAAACTGAAGCTTTTTGACCAAAAACTACAAATCTATGCCATTATTCACATGTATTAACTTCTTTCAAAGGGAAAATTCAGTACTTGAGAAAAAGGATTTGACCTGTGAGGCCACAGAGCGCAGTGAACTACCCTGAATGGAAACAGTCTTCTATTGAAAGATTTTTCATATTAAATATGTGATTTCAATGTTCAGTAAATTTAAGAAAGAATCAAATGACAATGTGTGTAATTAGATTATTTTATTATTAGATTAAATGACGAACTCACCACTGCATGAACTAAGTGGTCTACTTGAGAAGTCTGGGAGGCTATACTGAAATAACAGCAGGCTACAGGCTCGGTGCCAAATTGCCATGGCATCTCTTCTGTTCAACCCCCCCCACCACCACGACACTTCACCCCGCCCCCTCACTCCCACCACTCACAACCACTCTTGCCCCCTTTCCTGCCTCCTAAGCTGAATGACAGGTGGCAGAAATCCGATCAGCATGGGCCTTCATCAAGGAAGCACTCCCGTCTAAAAAACGGGCACACTGCCCACTCGCCCACCCGAGGGCCACAGCACAGGGGCTTCTGAGGCCGGATAGGGTGTGTTTGTGTGTGTGTGTGTGTGTGTGTGTGTCTGTGTGGGCATAAATGAGACAGGAATGGGGGAGCTGGAGAACCGAGCAGTGGAGTTGGCAGCGGGTGTCCAGGGCTCAAATGGGAAACGGGAGGCTGGCTCTCACAATAGTGAGCGCAAGAGTCCCAGAGGGTCGTCCACAATAGCAGGGCAAGCGGCTACTGTCAACAACGACCTCCAAGGCCTCACTGCTTGAAATGAGCTGGTCCCACCCTTCATCACTTCCCTTTGAGTGCTGCCATACAGCTAATGCAGGGATTATTATTAGGGACATGTATCAGGAGCATGTGTGCGCTTTGTCAGTGAAGTCCTGTCACATGGATTTTCATTTGAGCTTTGGCTACTGTGCTGTAATATACGGACAGTGGGTTTTTAAGGGAAAGATTCGCAACACAGTGTTATTATTTTGAAGAAAAGCTCCAGGTGTAATGAAAAATTAAAACACAAATATTATCAAAACTGAGAATGCCATGTTACAAAGCCCCCCTGACATACTCCGTTGCACTTCATCCTTATGATGCAGAGACATCAAGATGTACTTGACAGCTACTTCCTGCCCTTACACACACCAAATCAGATTTGAAAACCTATTGGCTATCACAAGTGCAGCGGAGCATCTTGGCGCGAAATTGGAAATCCGCAAAGTAACACAGGCCTGTTCTTGTGCAACCCACAGTCCTTGATCTTCAAGAAAAAAAAAGTTTATTTGTATAAAATAGCTCTACAAGCAATCACTACACGGGCTGGACTGATTGTTAGTGGAAGGGGGAGGGGGGCCAATGTAATGGTGGTGGTGGTGGTGGGGGGGGTCTCCAACCAGGAGGAGATTTAATTAGTGAAATCTCATTAAGTCTAACAAAATTAAGCGTAAAACAATCCTTAGTGGGGAATCGTGGTGGAGGTTTTTTTGGGTGGGTGGGGTGCAGGAGTGGGGTACACTTAGGGGCTGAGGGAACATAGAGACTGGCTGTACGATTAGTCTGGCCTGTGTGTAGGAAGAGACAAATGTCTTAGTATATCCAGACCTCCTCTCGCAATCAACTAGACACTGCCATGTGTGTACAGATGTCCCATTGTCCTTGCTCGTATTTGGTCTGTGGCTCCTCCCCAGTATCAGAGCATATACAGAACCTGACTACAAAGACTAAATTGGATTTAGACGCATATTTTTAACTGAATAAATATGACAAAAACAAAACTTTACATGATGTTACAAGAGTAAGAGAATGACTGGAAAAATTAAAGCACAAAATATTGTTGTTGTGTCTCTAATCAAGAATTTTCTGCAAAATCTACATTCAGTCACAAAATGTTCATAAATCCAATGCAAACTCACATTTTTTTTTTTACAATACCTGCACATGGCAGCTATTAGGAAAAGACTCATAGCAAATAAATTTTGGTTAAGGTTTGGCAGGATGGTTATGCTTTATAAACACCAATGTTAACTGCAGGTCTGTGACAGGATGCCAGCTTCGCTCGACTTCAAGTCAGAAGCTCTTACATTTTGCCTCACTTCATAAAGAACACTACTCACTACGCTGGCACTGAACATTGGCTTTTTATGTAAATCATAAAGTGCAGAATCAACCAATAGGGACCCTACATTGCTAGTGATACTGAGTTAAAAGTAAATGGGTAACACCCATCACTCTACAATGTGCCAGTCAGAATACCCTTGGGGAGAAATATTTATTTAATGATCCTGTGAACTAACCAGCACTGTTGTTATAGTGCATAGCTGCCAAATGCTGAAGAACAATGTGGTAGAAGTTTTCAATGGTTTCAAAGTTTTGGACCCCAACCAAGATGGAACGGTGAAAAACCTACACAAGCCCAAGTATAAATACCATACTGACAGCAGCATGACGCTCCTACACAAAACACATTACGATTATGACGCACGCCTGCTCCACTGCATCTACATTTCTGACATGTTGAAACACAGACCTGAGACTAAGTGCGACAGAATGGGACCTCACCCGGACCCGATTAGTTGGAATATAAATTGGACTTAGCCTGGCTCATGGTTCCAAGTTTAATCTTAATTATTAAGAACCACATGGATGAAAAAATGGTGCTAACATAAACACCAGTAGTTTTAACAGTAGCTCTGTGACTTTCTAAGAGAACCGTGATTCAGGCTCAAATAGATATATTTAAAAAAGACAGATATCTTGAAAGAAAGAAAGAAAGAAAGAAAGAAAGAAAGAAAGAAAGAAAGAATTTTCAGAAACATTTTTAGATCAGCAGGAACAACCACCACTTTTCACTCCTTCAAATCAATTTTCAATTAGTTGCAAATATAGGAGAGCAGAGGACATAGAAGTCTTTTGGCTCATTTCAGTGTGAACCATAGGGACAGGCCGTAATATTTAAATGCTCCAAGACAGCAATTTCCACCTAATTTTTAATATCATTGTCTCTGGAACAACTCAGATGGAGGTGGATATGAGCACCATCAACAAACAACAAGGCAGTTCTAGCAAACAATAACTTGTGCATGATCAAACCTTTCTAACCAGCTTATCACTGCAGCAAATCACAACAGTAGTTATAGAAATAATGACTGGTAGTGCTCATTAGAGTCACTTAAACAACTTCTGTGTCTTGTAGTCAACTGTTTTGTGTTGTAGCAGCATTGTTAGCTGCTGTGTTAGCTAAAGTTTTCACGGCTCACCACTACATAGATAGTTACATCATATATCATAGCTACCTGACAAATAATACTAGATCTAAGACATCTCTTCTACTGCAGAAATTAGCTTCTTGAAGTGGTCACATTTCATGCAACAACCATCTTCTCTGACACATCAAGCTAATTTGCCCTACTTTATGAAAATTCATTGTTTTGCTAAACGTCCTGCTCTTGTACGTACGTACAACCTGAAAACAACATCACAGTGAAACTTTCAGATATAACTACTGTATTTCTGCACCAATGGGTGCCTGTAATTTACTTAAAAGTAGAACACTACACAGTTATCTCACTGCCTCAGTGATTCAGCAGCAGACTCCACCTCACTGAGTGATTTTGTGGGAAGAACTCAAGTTCCAGTCATGGGCATCCGAAAACCATTTGGAGACATTAATGGCCCGTTCCATCATGGCAATACATTACTGAACCGCTATTCCCTCCAAAGCAACACTGAACTTCTAGACAAGTGCTTGTTAGAAACCAGTGTTTTGCTCCACTCTGAGACTCTAGAAGCACCGGGTGTCATTAGATACTGTAGGAATGGTTGTCATCTTTCATTTAAGCCTATTTACGTTTGCTTTTGGTTCCCATTGCCTACAGTCTTGTTCATGAAGAGAATATCTGTGGAAAACATAATGACAGTGTCAACCAAATCAGCTCCCATCTAAACTCTGTACAGTATAAGTGCTGTAAACTGTAAAGAAAAGGAAATAATATCAAATTAGCCTTATAGACGAGAGCACATCCTCAATTCCCATCAGGTAACTTTCATTTTCATCCTGGTCCAAGATGCAAATCATGTTTAGACCAAATTGTCAAATCATAAAAAAATAAAAATAAAAATAAAAATAAAAATAAAAATAATAAAAATAAAAAAAACACAGCTATAGACTGAAGTTCCAGCAAGAAGTGAGCAGAAATTCAAATTCTCATTTCGGGGGTTGAAGAGATGTAGAGAAAATATTCTCAAGTGATTGAAATGATTGTTTGGTCTCAACCAGTTTGAGTGAATTGCAGCAGGGTAATCGTTAACCGTGTGCTTTAGCATGCCAATGTGTTTATAGCATGAATTACATTTGATTGTGTGCTCTTAAATTAAATCACAGACTGGTGCTGGCCTGTGAGGAAACAGATTAGCTCCACCAGATATGTTGTTACTGAAAGTCTATCAAGACAAAATGAACATTCTGTTCATCTAACACATCTTTAAACCAGCACACAGCTTTGTTAATGACATGCATAAACAAACACTTATACAACCAGGGCTAAAATCATATGGTTTATAGGAAGGCAAATGGCAACTTACAGTTAGCTTGCCCACAGCAACACAGCAGCTTTCAGTGTTGTCGTCTGCTCCGTTGCCCAGGATCCAACTCTCCGCACAAAGCCTGTCGACAGATGACAAGGTCTAAATTTATGCAGTTTAATAAAGTCATCATTATTACTGAAAAGGACATTGAGATGATGCCATGCAAAAGATCAGTAACAAAATGTCACAGGGTTGTGGGAGATGGTCAACTCTAGTTTTTTAGTGGAGGGACAGATATTGCAGGATGACCACACCACTTTCACTTTATTTTCTAAGCTTTAGGAGAAGGGAAGACACAGCGTAGATCTAAACTGTGCAGAAATTGTTTCTGTTATTACTGTTATTTCCTTTCCAATCTGATTGCATTGATCTGATGACATAGCAAAAGTAGAATCCTGAGCAAAGAAGAGTTCAGACAAACAAAGAAGTTTTAAGTCCCCAATATAAATCAATAAACCACTTTTTGGCATTTTGCATGTTTGTGTTTGACAGTAAAAACTGAGGGGAAGATGTGCTGGATTCAAACCAGGGATGCTATGGTAACGCATCTGAGACCAAGTCCATAAAAAATTTAAATAAAAAAAAAAAAAACTTTTTTGACAAAATAAATACTTCAAAAGCCTTCCTCGGAAGAAGCCAGTGAGTACAATTTAAGATTTTTATAGGAATTTAAGAGAAAACTGTTTCGAAGGTCAAGAACAAATCTTCACACTCAACTTTTTTGAAATCAAAATGAAAGTGCCCAAATCCTAAATGTCCACTGCACAGTGAAACACTGTGAATAAAAAAATGAAAAAATGAATAAGTAAGCAGTAAATAAAATGTTATAGTTTGTGAGTTAATTCTTAAAATTACCAGCAGGAACATAAAATTCTGCTAATTCTTCTAAATATGTATATTATTTGCTTATATCAGTTTGTTACTGCCCTATAATGACCCTTTAATCCTCCATTTTTATGTAACTCTCCATCCCTGCAAAAAAAAATGCTTTTGAGTCTAATTTTCAGTGCCATAGGTGAAAACAGGAGGTTAGAGAGCTGCTGTGACTCAAATTCCTTTGAGCAATTGAGTGGCTGGCCATGTCTGAGCCACACAGAGCAGAGCAGAGCGCTGCAGAGAGAGTTATGGCGCACATGCAAAAGATTTAAGTTCAATCAAGCATTCAGGGCTGGACACCTGATCTTTCACTTAAAGCTCCTCCAGAACAGTGGGAGTGTGGTTGGGCCTCACAGCAGGCTGCCTACCTCCAGCAATCTGCTAACACAGAGCCTCTGAAGGGATGGTATTTACCCAGTCCTGCACAGCTCAGTGGGGACTACTGTGTGTGTGTGGTAGGTAGTTACTACCAGAGGCCCCATGTTGATGGGGGATAGGAATGAAAGCTGTGGAGAGTGAATGAGGAGAGCCCAAACTTTTCTCTCTTCTTTTAGAGTTTTATCAATCGCCTTAAATACAGGGCAATAAAAAGTTAATATTCTTTATTAACTTTTTATCTATCAACTATTCCACTACACTCCAAAATTCATTGATTCATTGTTAATTGACTATGGAATGGATAAGAAACTTCTGTCAGTAAATCATAGTGCAATTTTTGAAGATTGTTTTCAAAAAATTGCAATTTTGTTATTGCTCCTTGGTCTCTGCCATTTTTCATGCTTTCAACTGAAAGCAAAAGGAAGGATGATGATGAGGATGGTGTTCTAACACCATACTTTTAATCATTTTAATATACTTATTCATTCACAGTAACATCACAAAAGAAATATATTTGATGTGATGGAGTCTTGGAGACAACCTTGAGTTGAAATTGTGATTTGCTGAACAAATTATCCAATTCTATTTATCTTTATCAACAAAAAAAAATGTTTCCATTCCCATATCCTCCCATCATAATTCAAACAAATGTTCTTTATTTGGGGAAACTCCAGCTATAGGTGTTGACTGACTGAACTTGGGTTTAATCTTTTAATGATAAAAGATCTACAACTCAAGACTGTGAAAGAAAGTAGGGCATGTTAATGATGGTAAAGACGAGCTCAAAGCCCAGGAAAACGAAGACATCTTTAGGATGTAGTTTGAGTTTCCCTGCCAAACAGCCCCCTCAGACCAGGGGAGATTTGGTTGAGAGCATTTCTTAGGTTTCTTTCAGCCACAAAGAAAACATTTTAGCCTCTCAGTAATCCTTCCCGAAGCCCTCCCTAAGCTCCAAGGGCCCTTCCTCCCTCGGTCGTCCCTCTAGCCCCGTCTGGGATCCTGGAGGATCGTCTCTGTATACTGAAGCCCCACACACACACACACACACACACACACACCATTCACCATCTCTCCATGACCCCTCTGGGACCCAGCTGACCTTCCTGTTGACGTCAAAGTAAATCAGAGCGGGAGCCGGTGCAGCGAGGGGCTCCACCCAGGGGGCTGGAGGTCTAATCACTGTGTTCCTCACAAAAGCCACAGAGGAAACATTAGCATTCCTGAATCTGCCCACCATCACTCACACTGCCGCCGCTGCATGTGTACACAGGTACACATACACAGTCAGTGCAGAAAAGCAATTTATTTTCATCCTCTGCTACTTTATACAGCAACTCATTTAAGAGGCAAATATTGTACCTTTGAGTCCACTAAATTTATCTGACACCTATAGCTAATAGTAACTGCAGATTAAGATTTTACATGCAAAAACTGGGGACCAGATTTTAAAATACAATTCATTGTATTGTTTTCTATCACTGTAAATTTAATTAAACTTAAATCAATGTAAATTTGGGGATGTGGACAGGGAAATAGTTATTGACATTTGTCATTAATTTTTGACATTTTAAATAAATGAGAAAGTAATCAGTGGATTCCGCATTAGAGCACAGAGTGGGAAGATGAGACCTTGCTTTAATATGGCTGAAGGAACAGGACTCAGATAGTCTGCCGCTACTCCCCGGACAAGTTGTGCTTCTTGTGAAATGATTGTTTTATTGTTGCGCCGTGTACAACATTTGCTCATATCAATAATGGGATATGCTCCAGTGCATCAGGCATCCCCTTGGAGAGAACCTAGGTTCATTTGACTCATCTGATTTCGCCGCTCGCGTTTGTGGCAACGCAGGTTTGGAGAACACGCAGACGTGATTGAATATTCACAACTTCCTGCCTAAACTTTCTCTCTGATCATATGGAGGCTCCGTACAGTCGAGACGTAACTCCAGATGGACGTCTTTAAGATTCCCAAATCCTCCTCGCTTCGCTAGCAGGAGTTTTGGGGTCAAGGTGTGAAGGGAGGACCAAAAGACCCGTTTCCCACAATCCCTCCACAGCTATAGCCCCCCAGCTGTTCAAGGGCTTCCATAACAACAGCTGCGCAGAGGTTTAGTGGTTCACGTTGCTATGACAACAGCAGGATCAATTGGCATGCACAGACTCTCAGTGCTAATAGCGAAAGTGACATTATGCCATAATTTCATTTCAATAAAACACAGGCAGGTTTTTTACTGCACTAAGATTCAGGAGGACATAAAAAGGAGGCAAATAATTAATTTTGCATGATAATGTGAGTGGCTTCTGCGCCCAAAACTAGCAGGAATCTCCCACGCATATTGACAACCAACCCAGCAACCTCACACTTCAAATTCATTCTCTGGCATTGGAGATTAACTCAGTACAGAGTGTGATTGTTTCCGAGCTCATACAATAGAGGCTAAATAAGTCTTCATGCCCGGCAGCTGGATGTGCCACAGATCACTGACCGGCAGGATGTGCAACAATCAGAAATATTTCTGTTCTCCTGACAAACAGGATATCGGGTCACTTGGCCACCTTAACAGTGAGGATTCAGACGCCACGGGGGGGGATTTACACTATTGTACAAGAAGCAACCTCAGCTGTACTTTATGTTTACACATGTGGGACAATAGACTCTCAGGTGGGGTATCACAAGCAGGGCGCCCAAATGTCAACTCTTCATGGCTGAAAACTTGCATTATGATGCCCTCACTGTCCCTTCTCATGCATTTAACAGTTATTAACAAGCTTAGTTCCTGCAGTCGTGATCCAAACTTCAAGCATTTGAGGCTAATTCCTGCGAATTATAAGGGGCTCGCGACGACAATGGCAGGTATTCCCCCACGAGAGTAACCGGAGCAGGCGTGGCGTCACCACGGGTTTAAGACCAACGTTTAACGAGCATGCAGCTGACACAGACAGCTGTGCGAGACAAAACACAGCACAAACACACACATAGCCTACACACATCAACATGAGCACTGTGTCCAGCTGCTACATCAAACTTCTAGCATGACACAAGGTTCTCTAACTTTGTGTTTACCCCACTGAACGACGAAACGCTTGATATTTGTCATTGATTATGCCTCCTTATCTCACAGAATATGATAGGCCCCCTTGTGAACAGTGGGGGGGGGGGGCAAACAGGAATCCACTGCTAAAAATACCCATGTCGTGATGAGTCAGGATGGATTGTGCAAACAAAAAAAAGACCAGTCTAATTTCCTCCAGACTTTTGAAAAAGAAGTTCCAATCCGCAGTGCCACCAGTGGATTCCTCTATTTAATGAATCAAGCTGCATCAAGAAGAGAGAAAAAAGAATGTGCGGACTAGTGGGATAAAAAGAGATTATCCAAATGGAGGTTAATGATGTGAAAAAGAATCACAGACTTAAAGAGAATAAAGGTGCAGAAACATAAAAGTGTTTTGTGCTGAGATGTTTGGGGGTGTTCAGTGACGCTGAAATGCTCCCTTCACAGGGTTATACATGTAGTGTAATCCTTCTTACATTGAGTTCATCATAGATATGTCAGTTGAAGCCTGTTTGCTCATGTCAACATCAGGCTCACCATGCATCAACCTTTCAACAGCGCTGGAATTCAGCGTGATTCTCTATATTACATTTTTCTCACTATACAGCACAGGTATTATATTTCAACCCAACTTCCCAAATGTAATAAAAATAAGGTTAGTAGTAAGCTACTACACATATAGAGTCTACCGAGTCCTTCAGGCTCTGGTGAGGTTCTTGCACTCATGCTCTTTCACTTACACAAAGGCAACAACAAGGATCTGGT